CATCTCCTGCCATAACATTAGAGTTAATAACGGCTTCATTTGATTTTATGGACTGGCTGGACACTTCAGTTTGCACACTTTCTAACTCTGATATCAGGTTTTCTTCTGCCAAATCTATTTCCTTTAGAGCAATCAGAAATGTTAAAGAGTACATGTCATTTTGGAATCACAAAAATACATCAGGAAGTATAAAGTATGGAGTATTTTCCTGCAGACTGTACAATAGTAATGAGCTAGACTAAGGGAGAACTAGACTAATCAGATCCTTGGATCATCTCTAAGGGTATATTTGGGAGGGGTGTTTAGAAGGAAAAGAGGGGAGAAATATTATTTATTTATTTATTTAGAGAACTATACATTGTTTATGGTCATAAATGTATGATTTGACAATTATGATAATGAAAAATAGTAATGCATTTTTGTACTCCCAACTCCCAAACAAACCCCAGGGGATAAGAGGTAATATGTGGGAGGCTCTACACTTCTGAAAGAATAACTGAGAACCAGATACTTTTTTAGTAAACTATGAACTACTCCGTAATATTTATTATTCAGAGAAAAAATGATTAGTCACTAATGCATGCCTTAGGACAGCTCCTACGAAGATACTGTACAATCTAGATGCAATTTCCAAGATGCAACGTTCGTGTACAGTGTACCTACCTAACCTTATTCACAAGTATTCCTAGAATTATGCATATCTCTAACCTTTAACTTAATTTGAAGTGTGTCTGCTTCCTGCAACTTCTCTCCAATTTTGCTTTTGCAATTTGAAATAGCCTTCTCATATTCAGCATTTTCTTCTTGCAGTGTAACTCCTCTAAGTTGTGCCTGCCATTAGAAGAGAAACATCGAAGTTTAGAAGCAGAGGAGAAAAACAGTGATTGACCCAAATTTAAGAAATAAACACCACAGTTTCTATATCATCAACATTTAACCCTAAATCAATCACTATAAACTTGTATTCTCCAGCATCTAAAACGAACTGCAGCAGTCTCGAAGTGCATATGAGCATATCTAAGCTGTTTTAAGTATGTTTTCAATTGGACGGATTTCAGTCGACCATATCATACCAGATTTGAAGACCGGACCAGAAACCGACCAGTTTTAACTTTTTAATAGTAAAGGACACCTGAAACCGACCAAAGTACAGGTGCAAAGACAAAAAATTCAATTCCATTAAAAAATCTCAAACTTCTAATTTTCTAAATCAGTTGCTACCAGCTTGCAGTAAGCATTCCGAAGAACTCCAGCGAAAAAAGTGGATTATATGGCCAAAAAGGAGACGCAAGGGGGCTAGACATGCGGAAAATTAGATCGACGGGGCAAGGAATTGATGAAAGATATACAAAACCTGTTCTTTGGTGGTGGAGTGGGCATTGAGTTGGAGAGCAAGGGCGGCGTTGGATGCGAGAGAGTGGGCATGGAGGTGGGGAAGGCGTTCGGAGATGTCCGGAGGTGGAAGTCTGAGGCGTAAATCCTGGATCGCGCGGCTAAGAGATGCGGCTTTGCGATTCAGCTCTTGGACGTAGGCCTGCTGTTCGGCAGTGAGGATCAAGGGGATGGAATTTGGATCGTCGTCGTCTTCGTTGTTGTGTCCGCTCTTTCCGACCACATCTGCTGCCCAAGCTAGCAGCCCCGCCATTGCTGGTTACTGCAATAACTAACACAGCATTGCTTCCCTCCCCTCCATTTCTTTGTTTGGTCATTAAAACCAAAGAAAACTGCTATTTTGGTCATTATACTTTCATAAAAAAATCAATTAGATCCATTTTGTTCAATCAAGTACAATTGCGGGTTACTTGCCATGTCAGCAGGTCACACGTTGACGTTGGCGATGTATGCACAACGTCATTGACAAATGGCTGACTGGACTTCCACATTTGTGTCACATTAGCATAATTATTGCTGATTGGGCTGCCACATGTGCACCATGTCAGCGGGTGACATGTTAACATGGCAAATAACCTATAAATGGACTCAATTGAATGTGTTTATAAAGTTTGGGGATTTGATTGATCTTTTTAAAAGTACGAGGATTTAATTTACTTTTCATAAAATTACAAGAACCAAATTGACAGTTTTCCTTAAAACTACGGAGTACAAATTTAGGTGACAGTCGTGTGCACCCAAGCCACGCTAAATGACAGTCAAGGTCCCGTGAATAAATGACACATTTTTTTAGGCAAGTAATTAAATAAAATAATTTGAGTAAAAAGAGATGAAAAAGAAAAATTTATAAGAAATGAAAGTAGTTAAAGGAAGATAAGTTGAGAAAGTAATAAGTGAGACTGGATTATAATATTTTTCTCTATTAGTTGATGAGGCTCGTGATTCATTTATGAAAGAGAAAATGACTATTGTTGTCATATTTGTGAATGATAATGGAGCAATGATGAAACATTTTTATGGCCTTATTTATGTTGTTGATATTACTGCTATTTCTTTTGAAATGTGCCATAGATGATTTCTTTGCCAAACATGATTGTCGGTTTCTAAATTACGTGGTCATGGGTATGATGGTGCATCGAATATGCGTGGTGAGCTTAATGGTCCGAAAACTCTCATTTTCAATGAAAATTCATTTGCTAGATACATACATTGTTTTGCTCATCAGTTGTAATTAATTGTTGTGTCAGTGTCATCGGTTAATCGCTTTGCGGGTGATTTCTTTGATTTTTTTAGTATGATTACTAACATGGTTGGAGCTTCTTGCAATAGAAAAGATGAGTTCGGCCAGATAGAAGAGGTGTGAACCAGGAATGCTCCCTAGCTCGACCAAGAGCTACACTTTGGGGTTCTCATTATACTACCGTTCTTCATCTTCTATTATTATCGTCTCGCACTCTTGAAGTAGTGGTAATACATATGATGATGGTGCTGATTGATTTTAAAAGTAGAGGATTGACAAGAAGCTTAATTGAGAAAAGGGAGAGTATTGGTTCGTGAGGGGAATATTAACACAAAGTACTTCCATATTCCATAACACATTTAGGCAACAAAGGAGGCACAACCAAATGGTGGGACTCCAAAATAGGATGGGGGAATGGGAGGTTTCAAAAGAAGAGCTTGGGTGATAGTTGATAATTATTTTAAGGAGCTGTTTAGTGCTTCAGGGCATGCATATATGATCAAGAAGGATAAACACATATGAACACGGTTAGGGTTGCTAGAGAACAAAATAGACAACTATTACGACCAATTTGTCTAAATGAAGTGAAGAAAGCTTTGTTTGCAATGCACCCAGAAAAAGCACCAAGACCTAACGCGATGAATTCGTGGGTTTATCAACATTTTTGGGATATAGTTGGGCCAGAGGTAGTGAACTTCTGCCAGCAAGCTTTTCAAAGAGGAGCGGTGTCGAAGGAGTTGAATGTGACTAATTTGGTATTGATAGAAAAAAGGAGAGGCCTAAGGAATTAGGGGATTGGAGACTCATTGCTTTGTTTAATGTTATTTATAAGATTTTTACAAAGGTTCTGGCAAATCGTACAAAAGGAATGATGAACAATATATCGTCTTAGAAAATCAAAGTGCTTTTCTGCCGGGGTGCTCCATTTTTGATAATATTTTGGTAGAATTAAAAGGATATGGAAAAGAGGGTTTTGTTGCATAAAAGTTTGATATGAGAAAAGCTTATGATCATGTGGAATGGAACTTTTTGAGTGTTATGATGTTGAGGTTGGGATATGATGAAAGATGGGTAAGATTGATTATGGCATGCGTGTCTTTAGTAAGTTATTTTATTCCTTTTGAGAAAGACATGATAGGTCCTATATTGTTGTCACATGGTTTAAGGCAAGGAGACCCCTTGTATCCTTATTTATTTATTTATTTATTTATTTATTTATTTATTTATTTATTTATTTATTTATTTATTTATTTATTTATTTATTTATTTATTTATTTATTTATTTACTTATTTACTTATTTATTTATTTACTTATTTATTTATTTATTTATTTATTTATTTATTTATTTATTTATTTATTTATTTATTTATTTATTTATTTATTTATTTATTTATTTATTTATTTACTTATTTAGTTATTTACTTATTTAGTTATTTATTTATTTATTTATTTATTTATTTATTTATTTATTTATTTATTTATTTATTTATTTATTTATTTATTTATTTATTTATTTATTTATTTATTTATTTATTTATTTATTTATTTACTTATTTATTTATTTATTTATTTATTTATTTATTTATTTATTTATTTATTTATTTATTTATTTATTTACTTATTTATTTATTTATTTATTTATTTATTTATTTATTTATTTATTTATTTATTTATTTATTTATTTATTTATTTATTTATTTATTTATTTATTTATTTATTTATTTATTTATTTATTTATTTATTTATTTATTTATTTATTTATTTATTTATTTATTTATTTATTTATTTATTTATTTATTTATTTATTTATTTATTTATTTATTTATTTATTTATTTATTTATTTATTTATTTATTTATTTATTTATTTATTTATTTATTTATTTATTTATTTATTTATTTATTCTAGTAGCTGAAGACTTGAGTTTGATGCCAGCTAAGCAGGAAGCTAGTGGTAGGATTCGCGAAGTTGTTGTGATGAAGGGTGCACCATGTATTTCTCACCTCTTTTTCGTTGACAGTTTTTTGATTTTCAAAGCCAGAATTTAGGAATGGAATGTTATTACAGATACTCTACTTCAATACAAAAAAGAGTCGGGTCAGGTAATTAATTGGGGTAAATTGAGCGTTATTCTTAATGCTAATGTTAGTGCTGGTCTCAAACAAGCGTTCAACAAGTGTCTAGGTGAAAATCAAGAGGGTGCTTAGGCTAAATATTTGGGGTTGCCGCACTTGTGGCCACAAAAAGGAGATTTTGGATTTCTTGAGTGAGTGGATTTTGAAGCGACTATTAAGTTGGAATGGTAAGTTTAGGTCAAAAGAGGGATTTTTTTTACTTAAATCTGTCATTCAAGCGATGTCTTCATATGCGACGAATAGTTTTCTTTTACCTATAAAGTTGTGTGATGAAATAGTGGTTATCATGAATAGTTATTGGCGGAGGGTGGGAATTTAGCGCGGAGAGGCATTACGTGACAATCATTGAGTAAGTTGTGTGCACCCAAGTTGGTACACGGTCTAGGTTTTAGAAAATTAATAGAGTTTACGTTAGCCATGCTTGGGAAACAATCAAGGTGTTTCATTAGAGAATCAGGTTCGTTAGTTGGCCGTGTTTTTAAAGCGGGGTATTTTTTGAATACTTCTTCTGAGTATGCCCAGTTGGGTAGTAACCCCTCGTTTGTGTGGAGGAGCATTTTTGCAGCCCAAGATATTATCAAAAAGGGATGAGACGTTGGGTTGGGAATGAGATGGAGATCGGGGTTTGGTCAAATGCTTGAATTCCATGTGTGAGTTCGGGGAGATTTGCCTCAAGCCCTCAACAAGGCCACCCAGGATAAGTAATATGAATGTGGCAGCCTTATTGAGGGAGGATAGGTGTGATTGGAACGCAGGACGAGTTAGGGGTATTTTTAATAAGGAGGACTGTGATAAAATTTTGAGCACTTCGATTAGCTTGAGGCCGATGGAGGATGGTTTTTATTGGGTGGGAGAAGAAAAGGGGCACTACTCGATGAAAAGTTGTAATCATTTGTTAGTTAGAGAATATCAACTGAGGAGGTGGGGTGGACTAGACCCGTATGTGGAGGTTTGTTATTCTTCCAAAAGTGAAGTTATTTTTCTGGCAGCTTATGTCTCAGAATGTCCCTATGGTGGCTAAGCTGAGAGAAAGAGGAGTGGAAGTTACTGATATTTGTAGCGTATGTGGCAGGGATGGTAAAAATTTGTTGCATCTGTTCTGTTATTGTGACTAAGTAAATCTGTTCGGCAGCTTCTGGGTGCTTGTTTCCAGGTGAGGGCACAATGTTTTTATGAGTGGGTAAAGTATTTAGAGGCATTGAGAGTGGAGAATTGCTGCAAATTTATTATGGTGTATGGGTGTGTGTGAAAACAAAGGAATGATAAGTTATGGAAATGAGTGGAGTTAGAGGCAAGTTGTGTTGTGAATTCTACACCATCCACTTGGTTGGAAAGGAGCGGAACAAACCAGAGAGAATAGCGGCAATTTAGCAGTTCAAAAGAGTGAAGGGTGGAAGAAATAGATGCGGGTTGGATAAAGGTTAATGTGAATACGGCTGCTGACGAGCGTAGGAGTGTGAGGGCATGGGGCTGGCTGGCTCGGGATGAGGAATGTAGGATTACAGGAGGATGTTAAGTTGAGATAGCTACTTGGACTCCAAAGGAAGTTGAAGCAGTGGTACTTAGGAAGGCAGTTCAGCGAACACAAGAAATCGGGTGACATCCGGCAGTGTAGATGCGAGTTTCTTATGTGGCTGTGCAAAGGGAGGTGTGATATTGAGGAATCGAGATGGTGCGATGATAGGTGCTTGGTGGCGGAGATCCTTGCTATAGCGGCTGAAGCGATCCGATGGGCGGTTGAGGAAGGTCACACCGGCTTCTTGGTTGAAACTGATTCTGCCATTTGGGAGTATTTTGAAGGCAAGCAACCGAGGAAATAGATAGTGATCATTAACGAAATTAGATTGGATTTGGTCATATATAGAAAGAGGGAAGGGAATTGTGTTGCTCATTTCCTTTCTCAAGCCCAAGCTAGATAAGCATTATAAATAAAACAAGCTAAATGAGCTTCCGATTTTAGCTAAGCGGGCCTATTGGATGGACTTTAATTTTTGGCATTCCTTCTCTTCGATTATTGTAATTTGATCTATTGTTTTCGTATGTTTTGGTAAGAGGTTTGGTTTGGTCCCACTCTTGATGTATGCAATTTTTCTTTTCCTAATAAAATATGGTAAATGTTCTCTAGTATTTACCTCACTGATTTTGATGGTTTGCCTACCGAGTTAAAAAAATCGAGCAGTGTTCGAAACAAATGCTTTGGTGGTTATTTCGGGGGTTTAAGCGGAATCACATTACTCTTATTTTTATACGGAGTATTATTTTAGAGGATATTAGATTTTTGATGAGTGGTAATTCTTATTTCGAGGTAAGACATGGTAAGCGAGTAACAAATCGAGTTGCTCATGAGTTGACAAGGAGGGGTAGTTCTTTGTTGGATTGGGTTTTAATGTATACCCTTCCAAAGTTTATTGTAAGTCATTTGACAAATGATCTTTTCAATTAATTAAAGAAGTAGTTTTATGAGCAAAAATTTATCATTCCTTTTCCTATAGCTAATCGTACAAGTATTTTATTAGTTTCACTAAAAATTCAATTATATTCCATATATTAGTAATTGTAGTTAATTGCACAACAAAAAAATAATCACATTTCATTTTATAATCCATGCAAAACGCAGATACATTAGTACTAGTTATAATAAGAATACTAAGTAAAAAAATCACTACACATTCAAGTCTAGTCCAGTGACAATTGGCAATTATCAGAAACTCAACAAAAACGATGTGCTTATGTTTTTAAAACATATTTATTCCAGACGTGATTCAATGATAAAAAAAATCATCCATTTTTATGACATCAAAATTTATTCTAATTTTGGTGATCTAACGCACTACGTACTCAAATAAAAAAAGTTCAAATAAAGTAATTTATAAAAGTGAGTTCGATCCATGCATATATATAAGACTTCATTTGTTCATTCCCATTGCATCCTTCATCCCGTCCGCGGCTCCCTGTGCCTTAGCAGCTATCTGCTGCCCAGTCTGCATTTTTTCAATCAATTAATACAAGAAAGATTAATTCCCAGAGCAAAACAATTCGCTTTAATTCTAAAAAAAAAAACAATTCGCTTTACTAAATATGAATAAAAATTGATGTTGGCACTTGGCACTAATAGTAGACTAACAGTATTGCATGCTTCTAGTGCGTTACCGTCAAAATAAATTGGGTTGAATGACTTGACTCGATACAAATGATTTAATTTATTTTTATTTTTTGAGAAAAAAATATAATGATTTTTAGCGTAAACTTTTACACAAAATTTATACATTATAGTTAAAGATTTCTTAAAATTTGGAGTCGGCAGGCCAGGCACTTAGCTAGCCTGGCCTTGATTGTTTTGGTATTTACCGATAAATAGAGCATGGGCATATTAACATCATTCGGACAGGGGCGAAACCATAATTTTTTTGGAAGAGCAGAACCATGAAAATTCCATAAGGAGGGGGCTAAGTTTATTTAAATAAAAATTTATATAAAAAATTGGAGTAGTAACATCATAAGATTCATAATTGTGTGCGAAAAATACTTCATATGTCCCATAAAACTTGATTATATTGACTTTTCTTGATCAATGATAATCGAGTTAGACCAATGATATCTTTTAAAACAAAATTATTTAAAATATGAAAATTACACAACATGTTAATTTTTTGTTAAAAGTCTTAAAACTACTTCGGTAAAAGTATAAAGAACTTTATATGGATCTGCCCACGAGTTTATGGGTGACGATCGAAAACTGAGAAAAGAGTAAAAGTATAATTTATACGGAGTAACAAATTACCTCCTGCATAGATTGCTTTGCAGAGTCTGCAGTATCCCTGGCTTTGTCCATCATTTGATTGGTCTTCTCCTGCACTTGACCCTTGGCTTCACCTGCATGGTAACTTGCCTTCTGAGAATTATCCATCTTAGCTTCTGATCGATGTATTAATGATTTTTTTTTTGTAATTGTTTTTTTGAACTAGTGTTGTAAATTTTAACAATCTTAATTAATTGAGTTTACTTGTTTTTACTTATATGCAAAGCTGATGCATATGTTTGTGGGTGTGCGTAATCCTCTCCCTTAAATGTCTCCGTGAGAATCTGTCACACTATTTTTGTTATTCAATTTGTAAGGTCAATTTAACTTGTGGATACATATGTAGTATGTGTGGACATTATAATTCTGAATGAGGTCTCACATTATAAGCTTAGCCGTAGAGTTCCAATTCTAAGAAATAAATACTTAACAAATACTATCGTATGTATATAAACATGGCTGCTCAAATAATACAACCATAGATCATTATTTCATACAAATAAAACAAATAATGGTTGTTAAGACACCAATGTTTCTCAATTTACCGGTGTGAGACTTATCAATGGCGCCAACAGAGAGCCATAAAGTTGGTGTTGAGACACAAGGGATCCCCTCAATATACTTCTTTTGACAACCTGCAATAAAAGTGTTAAAGTATTTGTCTTACATCGGAAAACTGTAAAACATTATACTCCGTATAAATTATTGCGTTACTCCTCATATCAGGTTGACTTTTTAGGATGAAACTTCGAACTAAAAGTCTAGAATGAAGAGCAGACCGTTTCACGTAGATGACGAAATCGCTCGTAGGGAGTTAGCCGTTTAAGGCAATACATGCATGTAATTATGTAAATAAAAATAACCAAGGGTCAACCGGAGGAAAGACCAGCCAAATGGAAAATCAAGTTGGTACCAACTCTTAGGAATTATCTTGCACTTAGATCTTGGCTTCAAAATTTATCTAATGATCATGAATATAAAAATAACTTGAAATAATTACAAGAAGTGTACCCCTCTTCTCTGCTTCTCCTCAAGAGTCAAGAACCCCACAATATAGGACCAACTAATATAACAACTCAGGGTTTTCTAAAAGAATGATTGATTAGTGGTTAAAAAAGGTGTTTAAATAAGTTAAAGAGTGATATATTTTAGTCTAGCAATTCATATGTTCAATCAGTATGGAGAGAAAATTACAAATTATCTTCTCAAAATCTTCAATTTTTATCAAAAATGGGTTGTTTTCCATAGCATTTGTTACAGATATTATATTAGTCAGGGATACCGCCCATAACAAGCTTGTCGGGGCTTTGTTAGGAATCTTGATAAAATATCGCTCAAGCTAGGTTTGTCACGGAAAAATCTCTAACAAATTTTGTCAGAGATTATTTTGTGACAAAAGTCCCTAACAAAAATACTAGTCGTTCGGATTTGTCAAGGAATATATCCTTGATAAAAATTAGCAAAGGAGTTTGTCACAGATATTATCCACAACAAATTAAAACAAAATAAATCTATTTTCAACTTTGTCACGAATATATCTATGACACAATAAACTAGATCTCTCTTAAGTTATTCTATAAGCAATTGTAATTCTAGCCGCGGTTCCAGGTTACAAAAGATATCAGTTAAATTATTCAAACAACATTCATGTAATTAAACCATCAAGAATCTAGCCATACATCATGATCAACCCCTTCATCAACCCCAAATCTCTAATTAAACTACTCACAATTCATAATTGAAGAATCAACAGAATTGAGATAAATAGAAATAATTGTCATTAATTAAAAAGATTAAACTTACAAATAATCCCAGGGTCTTGGAGTAAACAATCGTAAAAACGCAAGAAAATTCGTCCCTAGGCCTCTCTGTAATGTTCGTAACACTTAAACATGAGAAGGGAGATATCACTACAAAAAAACAGCGTGTTAGTCACGGACTTTAGTCACGGATATTGTCCGTGACTAGTTTTGTCACGGACTAGTCACGGACTAGTCACGGATTTTAATAAAAAAAATTAGTCACGGATCCGGCCGTGACTATGACCGTGACTGACGTTAGTCACGGTCTGATCCGTGACTAAAATGCTCCGATAGCTCCGATTCCATTTCCGGCGTGGCGTGTTTTATCCCGGCGACTTAGTCACGGACGGTTCCGTGACTAAGTCCGTGACTAAAAAAATTTTTAATGCCGTAAATCCTTCCGCAACGGTATTATGTACGGATAAATTTAGTCACGGACATGTCCGTGACTATTTCCGTCACTACTTTGAATGACACGTCATTTCCACGTCATTAACACGGGTTGGACGCGTAACGGACACGATTTTGCTTAGTGACGGACAAATCCGTGACTAAGTCCGTGACTAATTTTTCTATATATGCAGGAGCAACTCATTCAACAGAACCACACCAATTCATTCTCAGTATATACAGTATCTGTTTGAAAGATCGAAGGATGTAGTCTATCTTCTATCATTTTCCCCGTTTATGCAGATAAGGTATGTTACTTGAATTATTATTTTTATGTATAATTAATTAGTTGGTTCAATTTAAATTATTAAAACTATTAAATTTTTGAGGTTGTTAATTAATTAACAACATATTTAACTATAAGCATAGTAATGTCATAAGATTAGTTACATTTTTAGGTATATCAAATAATATAATTAAAATTATTTAGTTAAACGTACGTTAGTAATGTGTTAATAAGTGATTTGTGAATTGTTATTGTGTTAAATGTGTATTACTTATTAATTCAAATGACTTTATATACATGCTCAAATTATTGGATTTTGTCATATTATTTAATTTAATTAGTGAATTGTAGATTGTGTATTTATAATAAGATTAAATGTCATTAACGTAATAATTTATTCTCAGGTTTAAATTTAGGTTTAAACGTAGGTTTACAAAAATAATTTAATTAGAAATAGTTAGCTAAACGTAGGTTTAGCTAAAATTAGTTAAATTAAAAGCGAACGGAATGAACTACTTACATTTAGTTAAAATTAACTAAATGAATGAGTTAAATTTAGTTAAACGTAGGTTTATATTACTTAAATTTTTTACAATATTAGTTAAATTTAAGTATTAGGTAATTACTTATATTTTGTGCATTATTGTTGTGAATTGTGTGCATTTCATTTAATTTAGTGAAAATTAGTTAGTTGATTA